TATTATTTTATGTAAAAAAGTTAAAAATGGAAAGAAACCCATTTCAGTACAGTGCTCTCTTGTATACATTTAGCATTTTCAAAGTATGACTTTGGAGTTCCATGAACCTGAAAACCTTTGCTAGTCACATTTTCTGAATATTCATGATACTAATATTTTATTATAAAAAATTGATGATCATTATGCTGTTAAGCATTATATAATATTGCATCAAATTGGAAGAAAGCACAATTTTGGGTGCTGCTGGCATGATGTCCTCAATTGTAAAATTGTGTACTGTGCAAGTCTGTATCCAATGGACGACACTTTGTGTTATCAAAATATAAAATTCATGATAATAAAAGAGTGCTAAATAGAAAATAAGCATTATGAAAATAAAATGTTTGAAAACGAATTTCTTTGGTCTTTTATTTTATTTCATCAGTATCCTTTCTTTTCCTAAATTAATTGATGTTTTATCTCATAATCTTCAATTCTAAAAAAGTGGCAAAGCCCAGCATTAAATATTGTATAACTGTTCATTTAATCATCACCTCTGGTGTTATTTTGGAATTTACCTTAAATATGAAAGAATTTCATAAAAATGTGAATTGCTGCAAAGTAACGCTATATAAAATTTGCTTTGCATTAAAAGTACAATCATTATTACATGTAGATGCATGCATGTCCTCGGTTGTAATGTGTAGTGTCTGTCCGTGTGTGTGTCCGTGTGTGTCCTCGGTTAGAATGTAAAATTCTTGTCAGCAAAAAATTAGTTTTTATAAAAAATTAATTTATAACATTCATACTCGAATAGATTTTACCCTAAATTGAATGTTTTTATTTTGATTTAACCAAGGAATAAGATGTCCTCGGTTGTATGGTGTTGTGCTGATGTCCTCGGTTGGTACACATAGACAAGTATGTGTGTGTGTGCATGAGTATGTGTGAGAGAGAGAGAGAGGGGGAATGAAAGAGTGAGTGCTACATCAGACCTTGTGAACACACAGTACTATAATTTGTGCCACAAACTAGTATTCAATTACTGGTACTTGAAAACCAATATCAAACAAATTTCAACAAGGACAGAAACTTAAATTCACAAAACAAATGTTTGACCTCAATTTTGAGCACAAAGAAAGCCATCTGGTGAAATTGATTTCTTTACTATCTAGATATTTTAATATCTATGCAGTTAAAACTGCATAGGAAAAATTCATGACTCCCTATTAGTATTATAATGATAGTTTAGTCAAACAAATATTTATCCCTATATGATAGTTCAACATTTATTTAGTCAATTGCTTTTGCTAAAAATACATAATAAAATTTCACCTCATAGAAATTTACATTTTGAGGGCCAGGAAGATTAACTTCCCTTTGGAGAATTGAAATATCCCAGAATGAAGTTTGCCGAAACGATGCAGGTACTAAGTAAATTGCCAGTAGACTACTGTAAACACCTCTTGAAATGCGGAACAGAAAAACTACGCCTTATTAAAGCAAAAGGTCTCAGTCACTGTACAAATATATGTGCATGGCTGAACAAAATTAATATCTATTATATTAAGCCAGTTGATTATACAGTCAGTTTTTAAAATGCTATGTCTTGTCTGTTGTCTTAGAATTAACTTTTGCAGTGGGCAAGTTGATTCAGTACTACATGTAGCTAATGGTTATTTGAGCAATTAGCACTTACCTATTTCTACAATGAAAAAACTTAGCATACAAAAACCAAGGCAAGCTATTATTACAATAATAAATACTAGTAGTGAACAAAAACTAACACAAGCTTCAATCACTTGTCAGGTGTGAAAGCTGCATTGCTAATACCACTTACATCAAGGCTTTTCCTAGCGAACTACCCAGCCTTAATTCTGACGACCCCCAGCACCACCGCACAACCTATATTTTCAAAGACAGCTGGACAGCTTATGGATTTTTAAAAATGTGACAGCTTTAGGCATACTTGGACTTCCTGAAATTTTGTAGTAAATTACAGATGGTAATTTTGGATGGCCTGTACCCCCAACCCTGGGAAAAGCCCCGACATACATGTGCTCTGCATATCAACTCTTCACATTTGGGTGCCAAAAGAAAGCTGATGTCTATCTGGACCTTCCCCAACAAGTCACTTATTACCCTGGTACATATAGCAACCACATTTCGATTCTCTTGGTGTCCATTTTATTTGGACTTTTATTGTTTATTTTCCGCAATTCTGTTTAACAAGCTTACCATTTTTTATGGCCTTGGGTACATCGTACATGGCGATTATATGAAGTTCACTGAAATTCAAATATACAACCAATTTTTTTT